GCATTCCAACCTTCTGACACCCCAACTCCATCCTACTACAAATGCTTTTGGCAAGACCGTACAGAGACTTTTCCCCATCTGACATTTGAACAACATATGTGGTCACATATTGGATGTCAACCACATAGATGTCATGAGTGTAGCCTAGATTTCATGGGATTGTATTCCTATTTCCTGTAATATCAAAAGACACAGCAGCAGGTGCCAGCATCCCTACAATCTCAGGCCATCAGTCGACAGACAGATGGTCCTCAGGTCAACAGTGCACAGACAGATGGTCCTCCTGCTCCTGGTCAAGAGCACTGGGTTACTCTTTTTCACTAACCAAAGATCTTGCTGCCTCAGAACCAGCTCATCTCTTTGGTAAAAGAAGGGGTTAGAGTTAAATGGGGTCAGGAAAATTAGGAAGGCATGATAAAGTCCAAATGGAGCTCTGGACTCCATCAGGGATTCCCCATAGGTGCTATCTCCAGTGTCCTGCCTCTCAGGGACCAGTCAATCTGCTATTTAGCTAGCTGAGAAGAAAGAGAACAGAGCTAGAGGGCTTTCTTCAAAAGCTCTTACCTGGTATCATCCCCAGATTCAAATCCTGCTCCATAAAATCCATATTCTTGACCTGAGCTTCCACATTTCCCAGAGCTAGGTTATGTACAAAATCGGGAAATTATTAATAATACCAATATGATCTTAGAAAAGGACTGTGAGTACCTTGTTTTATCTTTTATTCTGGAAGAATAAGAAAAACAGTCCTGAACTGTTTAGGACATATGTGCCATCAGAGTGTCCCTGGCATCGACTGTCCACATGTCCAGAGCTTCTGTCTCTTCCCACCGGACTCCCTCCTTCCCACAAGACTTAGGATCTGGCATCCCACGTAGCCTTGTGGGGGAGCTAATACTCTCAGGTAAAAACTTGGTAAGTGACAAATGTCAGCCAGAGAGCCAGGCTGAGGAAGTCTGCTTTCTCTCCTCCTCATGAAGTATTGCATAGCACTGTTTTCCCCCTACACACAGCCTGTGGAGAGACCTCCCAGGAAGCTGGTGAGCATGCCTGCCTCTTCAAGGCTACTCATAAGGCAGTGGCCGGCAGGGAACTGTGTCACCTTGCACTTCCCTGAACCAATTGCATCTTCTTATTCCTATACCTTGACTTTTAAACCTCCCAAATAAAATATCAGTGTTTATTTACTTGTTCATTGTCTTGTAGTGCATATATGTACATATATGGGCGTAGACACACATGCTATGGTGTGCATGTGGTGTCAGAGGATGCCTTGCTGGAGTTGGTCCTCGCCTTCTGCCAAGTGGGTGCCGAGGATTAAGCTCTGTATGTGTGCATGGGAGAATGCAGTGCTTGTGCAGACAGAAGATGTCTGATCACATAGAGCTAGAATTACAGGTGGTTGTGAGGTGTCAGAAATGGTTGTTGGGGACTGAACTCTGCAAGAGCAGCAAGACTATCTCCAGCCCTAAGTGTGTGTGTGTGTGTGTGTGTGTGTGTGTGTGTGTGTGTGTGAAAGAGAGAGAGAGAGAAAGGGGGAGAGAGAGAAAGGGGGAGAGAGAGAAAGGGGGAGAGAGAGAAAGGGG